GGTTCAGGAAGAATGTGACGGCCTCGCGGTCCCGCTGGCGCATCTCGGCGGGCGCAGAGTTGGACTGGGTGATGCACGCGTCGGCGCTCCGCTGCGCGATGTCGGCCTGCTGGAAGAGGATCTCCTCTGCTGTCAGCCTCACCTCGTTGTCGCGATCGCCCAGACTGCTCGTCTCGATCAGCAGCGGCCTCCTCAGTCCGACAGCGGCGATCCGCTCGAGGCAGCGGTCGGCGGCGCGCAGCGCCTCCAGCGTCGGGGCGCCGATCTGGTCGGCGGCGCAGAGCGACCGAGATAGGCCCCACAGCTCGCGCCACAGGAAGTCGACCTCCGCGCCTGCGTCGCGCCCGTCGCGTGCAGCCCACGCGTCGAGCGTGTCGAGGGCAGAGCAAAGCGTGTCCACAGCGGCGGCAGGCACACGCGGCGCGGCGAGGCGCCGCTGCACGCGGCACACAGCGGCGCACGCGGCGCATAGCTCGCCCGCGTCGTGGCCGTACTGCTGCTGCAGCTGGAAGCTCTGCCGCGTCGCGAGCATCGCGGCTGTTGGGTCGTCGTCCACTTTTTTGAGCGCCTCGACGCGCAGGCGCGCGGCGACCTCGAGAACCGCATCGGCCGACACGTCGATCCCGACCTTTGCCGACGCGGTGTCGGAGACGGTGCGGGACATGAGGCAGCCACGTTGTCCAAACCTTGCGTCTGGGTTCGGCTCCGAAGCGTCTGGGGGAGGGCGGCTAAATTTAGTGCGGTGTGAAGTGTTTATGTACTGCATCTTTAGTGCACTTTAGCGCGAATTTAGCGCGAATTTAGCGCAACTTTAGTGCAAATTTAGCGCAAATTTAGCGCAAATTTAGCGCGAGTTCACTGCGACTTTACATCCAGATTTAGCGAGGTTTAGTGCGTCTTTAGTCCAGCCGCGCAGTAGGATCCAGCCGCAGCCCCTCGCTGGGCCTCCCTCCCCCTCTCCCCCTGCAGTTCCCTGCCCACTCGCAAAAGTTCCCCGTCCCATCCCCAACCGAGGGTTAGGGTTCTGTGGTCGAGTTCCCCGTCTCATCCTCTCCGAACCGCCCGCCGAGGCGCCTTCATCCAGTCTCGGAACCGCCCGCCGAGGCGCCTTCATCCAGTCTCGAGCGGCGCCGGCGGCCAAGGACCTCAAGGCGCTGCTGCCCGAGCGTCTGCGGCCGCCCGCCGACGCCGCCTCGCCCGCGACCGACGGCCAGGGGCGGCAGCGGCCAGCCGAGCCTTCGCCGGGCGGCGCTGGCATGCTTGACTTTGCGGCGGCGGCGGTTGGCCAGAGCTTGGCCAGAGTGTGGCAAGCCCTGGCCAGCAAGGGCAAAGCCCGCTGCCAGCGCGGGGGTCCGGGGGCAGCGCCCCCGGGAAAAGCCCGCTGCAAGCGT